AATAAGACTTCAAACAGAATGAGTTAAATTTTGGTAGAGATGACGTGACTGTGTGACCGAGTCGGTAAGCTAATTAACTAAAAGGTCCCGAGTTCAAAACCCCGCGCAGATGAGGTTCAGTAGTACGGACCAGCAGCCCGTCTCGGAGAGACAAATCAAAAATCATAGGACTGCTGCCCTGAAATTGTATTAAAGCAAATTCAAAAGAAAAGCATGCTGAAATTATATATGGCTTATTCAAGATTTACACATAATACTGTATTTTTTTTCAGAGAGAACACAAAACAGTTTAGAGTAAAGCAGAAGTTCAGGGTTATTGTCATTGTAAGAAAATTATTTAAATTTAGATGTTCACAGCTGTGAAATTAAAGTCCATTTTTGAACCTATCGACCTAGTAACAAATGAAGACACAAGACTTTCTACTGCCTTGAACCCGGATTCTTATTCGAGACGTTCAGCAGTCTAGCCTCTATGCTAAGTGAAAAAAATATGTTGAAAACCGCAACATGTTTACTTTCTCCAGGCTTTACTTGCAACAGCATACCCAGGTGTATACGGAACCAAGACCTACCTAGCTCTGCAGGACATCACCAACAAAAACATGTTTGGTGCTGAGGCTGGTGGTAGAGACGACGCCCCAGATAATGTAATCGTCATGACAGACGGACAATCTGACGAAACAGAAAAAAGTTAGTTAAACGGAAATTTTAAATTTTTAATGTATTTAACTAAAATTAGAATTAAAAACTAAGAACTACGAAAGACAAAAAGATAAAATGTATTAATACTCCAGCATATTCTGAAAACGAACTTAATTGATTTTGTAGCAGAAAAAACAAATCATATATATATATATATATATATATATATATATATATATATATATATATATATATATATATATATATATATATATATATATCTTAGCATTGGGGGCAGCAGCTAAGCTAAAAGAGGCAGGAGTAAATATCGTAACTGTGGAGATAGGCACTAATCCATCACAAGAAGAGTTGCAAAAGCTTGCCAGTGGTCAGCAAAACGCGTTAAAAGCTGGCAGCAGTGACTTCCAAACAAAAATAGTGAAGTCACTGATTAAGAAAACTTGTTAGAGTAAGTTCATTTTTTACTTTCTTAGCACGTTTTAAAAATGTACCTAAGGCATTGTACAATTTTTAATGAAATGATTTAATATTTAAAATTTCTTATAAAGAAGCAGACATAATAACCGTTTTTTTTGTTTAATCTTTTTTTCTTTTCTTCTAGCTATCGAGATGGCTTATAAGAGGTGTTTTAAGGATTCAGCAGAGCATAACAAATTATAAAAAAAGTAAAGTTGCATTGCTTTTTAATGGCATGCACTATTATTTGTATCACGATTCTACTTTTAATAACTCTTTAGATCTGTATTTCAAAAACGGGGAAAAGAAACAGGGTAAAAAAAATCTGACAATAATTGTTTCTTTAAAATGTATTCATAAAAAAAGCATGTTCACTCACATTGACATTGTGATTTATAAATAAATAAAAGAGCTATAGCAAATGATGTACGTGTTTACTTGTTCGATTACAAAAATGAAAATAAAAAAGTAAAAGTCTTTGATGTTTTAGACCTAAATCAATAATGTATCTTAAACTTACAAGAGTAAGTTGCAAACATGCATTTTTAATTTCCTGTATAAAGAGCTTAGAGGAAGTACTGTAATAATAAGGCTATCGCAAGTGTTACTCAACATACGTCATTTTGCTGGAAATTGTTGCGGTTTCAATTTGACCATTTTCTTTAAAAATGTTTACGTTGGTCATTACTCGCTAATGATGAAATAAAATATGTCTTAATTTTATGGTTGCTTAAGGTTTTAAAATTTGATTCAATACTTCTTAGATAAAGTATTTATTTTTCCTCAGTTACACATACATTAATGTGTTAATCTTTTGCTTTTTTTTGCAATTTTTCTCCACGCGAGTCTATTCTGTTAAACACAACAACGTAACAAAATAAAGCGTAAGCGATGTCCCCTTCTCTTTCTCGTATATAATATTTTTTTAAACAGAACTAGACTACCCGTTATTTTAGGATAACTGTTGGTTAGTTGGGTCATCCGTAATTACTTGACAATTTTTACATCGTCACAAAAAGCCAGACCCATCATTCAAAAACACATCAGACCTCAGACATGTTTTAATCTTTTAAAACACCTATTTTGACTGAGCATGGGTCTGACTACATAATCATTTCGATGACCGGGAAGTTGCGCAACGGAAAAAGCGCAACGGAAAATAGCGCAAAAAATTGCGCATCGGAAAAAACGCAAACTGAAAAAAAGCAAAAAGAAAACAGCACACACAGAAAAAGTCGTAAACAGAAAAAAAGCGCAAACTAAAAAAAGTGCAACCAGACAAATGCGCAACCAGAAAAAACTTAATCAGAAAAAAGGCAAATAGAAACAAGCGCACACAGAAAAAAGCGCTAACAGAAAAATGCGTACACAGAAAAAAGCGCAAACAGAAATTTACGCACACAGAGTAATCCGCAAAGATAAATTTCAGCACAAAGACCCACATGGACTAGATGACACATTAATATTGATATTATGGCTGCTGTAAAAGGGTCATGTTTCACCTGATCTACTATCATTTAAAGAATGACACTACCATGAGCATTTGCAGAACATCGAGACTGGTGATAATCGCTTGACACAGCCAATTATTTTCTTATTCAATATTTGTTACATACTATTCTCGTTTAAAGAAACACAAAACTATCCTTGATATTGGCATTACATGAAATATCTCTCACATTCTCCCTAGTCTGAACGCCCTAGCTTGCATACCATTACAACGTGTTCTTATCGAAAAGCTTAACTCTCTTTTATCCGCGTTGGTTCATCTCTACCACTGGTAATTATTACGCAACACCCGGATTCTTTCAGGATAGTACTAGACTGATGAACAATACGAAACTATAAAAGATTACAAGAAGCAAAAACTCTTCGTAGACTAGAAGTCTAATGTCTAGGGTTAAATATAAATGCAAAGACCGTCCGAAACTAGTAGAGCTTTTAATCAATCTAAAAACAATTCAAAAAGCAAACAAGTCTATATAATCAAATACAATCCAAAAACCATAAATAATTTAAAACCTAACTTACAATTTCATGAAAATGTCAAACACTTCTATCTACAATTAACGCTGAATAACATATCTAACACAAACATTACTATTGAAAATCAAATACTGAGTACTATTGAAAGATAAGTAAATTACGGCCTAACTCAACATTAATGCTATGAGCCGTGGCTTCTCTATGGGTGTCTTGTGCGCGCCTGGTGTTTGGAAATTCCTCCTTTTTATATTAGCCTAAAATTTGGGGTGTTGACACCATTGTCAAGGACTATTGGGGGATGGAACCAAAACACGAGTAACACGAACACATTGTGAATATTATCACATGAGTCTGGAGGAAAATGTCTTAGTTTAAACAACAGATAGCTCAAGGCCATTTAAATATTAATTAAAGTTAAACTATTAAAAAGAAGACCTTCTTTTAAAGAGGATGATTTGTTATGCTAAGAAACATATCCATACAAATCTGATATAACCAAAATGTAAAACAAAATAGGAAAACAATTTCTATGTAAGAAAAAATAACTAGAAAAATTAAAACGAAACAATTCTACATTTTACAATTTGTTAAATAGGAATAATCCTCATATGAGGTGAAAAAAACAACAACATCAAAGTCCCTTAATTAAGGGTAACCGATACATATTCATGTGGATACAATATGCAAGAAATCAAATGGGTGATCTACTTGATTTAAGGTCAGCTTTAACATCAGCTGAGCCATGAAATATATTACTATAACTTATTCTATTACTGCAAAATACCTTTAAAAGGTTTAAACTTGAAAATAACAAGTATCAGTAGCGTAGCGAGGGGGGGGGGGGGCGGGGGAGGGGACATATGTCCCCGGGCGCCGAGCTTAGGGGGCGCCAAAATGGGTTGGAGAAATAAATTGAAAGGTTGAGGGGGGTGCAAATTGAAAGTTTGAGGGGGGGGGGGGGGTGCTAATCGAAAAGTTTGTCCCCGGGCGACGGGAAGGGTCGCTTTTCTTTATAGTTATTTAAATAGTAGTCTATAATTTATTTTCTACTTTTTAGTGCATCATTACATAAAAGCTTGTTATTAAAACGTTTTTTATGAATTTTTTTTCAGTACTTTACATGTTTTATCTACAATAGAGTTACATGACTAAAAACCATTGCGCGCCTACTGAATATCACGTTCAGTAGGCGCGCAATGGTTTTTGAACGCAGCCATTACGTGGTCGTGATGGCGCAGCTATTGATGACGCGTGTGGTGTGGTTGGCTAGACATGCCTACTAATTCGGTCCAAATTTTAATTAATTCATAAAAAATCAATTAGGCATCCAATTAAGTCAAATTTAGTTTCAGATTGCATTGTCTTCATGTCTTGACCCACGTGCCAACTGTGAATCGTGTCGGTCAAGTAGAACTGTCCGAATTTTCACTCCTGCGTTTCCGTCTAGACTGACGACTGACGACAGACAGAATGACGAGGAAGTGAGTTAAATAAAAGCTTGTAAAAATAGAATAAAATCTCGTAGACAAATTAATTGCACACCAAGTGAACGCAAATAAAAAAAGCGCATAATAGTGCGCAATATTATTAGTACTTTTAAAATTTACATTAGTTTTTTGAGAAATCGGAAGTAGCGTAAATTACTACTTCCAGTCAACGGAAATTACTCAAAATTTAACAGAAGGTAGAGAATTAGATCTTTTACTTACATGTGAAATTTCATTTATCTATCTGAAATAGTACTCAAGTTATAGGCTTTTAAAAAATTCAAAGTAGGAAAAGTACCACTTCCGGTTATCGGAAATCGCTCAAAAGTTGATACGGATCTACGATTTTGATAAAATACTTATATATGAAATTTCATCAACCTAGCTGTAACGGTACTCAAGTTATCGTGTTTACACACGGACAGACACACACACAGACACACACACACAGACATACGGACAAGATTGCAAAATTATGTTTTTCCGTATCAGTGAGGTGTAAAACGTCGAGATTTGTAAAAATCTCGATTTTTTTTTGCACGATTACAATACTTTCTCTATACTACGTATATACGAGAAAGTAAAAATGTAAGGACAACACTAAAGCTAAAGTTTTTAGCGCAATTTCCATTCTGGAGAATTGCGTTTATTAAGCCGTCATTTCTGGATGGATAGATGGATGAATGTATGGATGTGTGTCCGCAGCTTTAAGTCGTATCTCCTCCTCAACGAAGCAATATCGATGACTAGTTACAAAAACAATTATGTTAAGCAAGTTACGAGGATGAACATAGGCCATAAAAATTCCGGGTTTCTTTCATGGATTTCCCGGAAAAGCAAAAAAACCTTGAAAAAATGCAGTTTTTGGCCCATATCTCGGCAACCAGACCACTTAAAATTTGGACCGAATTAGTAGGCATTTTATGCAACCACACCACATGCGTCATCACGTTCAATAGCTGCGCCATGACGTTCAATGGCTGCGACGTCACATTCGGTAGCTGGGCGCGCAATGGTTTTTAGTCATGTTACTCTATTGTAAATAAAACATGTAAAATACTGGGAAATTTTTTTTAATAAAAATCTTTTTAATAACTAACCAATGGTTTTACTAACCCTGCTCTTGATTTACGCTACGACAGAGCTATTTTTAGATAACACAAGGAAATAGCGCTAAAATTATTATTGTCACTAGACTTTTTTTAATTACTTGTTTTTTCTATTGTGCAGTAATTCTTTTGATTACTATTCCGTTTTCTGGAAAAGAATGCAATGGGGTGATCAATACCTTGATTATCTTCCTGAAAAAAAACCCAGAAACAATGGCAGTGTCACTGGCATCAATTGCAAGCTTTATAGGTTTACCAAACTTTGGGGCAGCCATGACAAGAGCATTGTACAGACAAGTTTTAGTGTCTAAAAATGCATTATTACATTCATCTGACCAAATAAAGTTAACTCTCTATTTTTAATAAGGCAATCAAAGGTTCTGTTATGGATGAAAATTTTCTACACAAGCGTCCTGCAATCCCAAGGAATCTCTTAACTTCCTTACAACTTTTAGGTGGAGGAATTTTCACTATAGCTTCTACTTTGGCATGAATAGGTCTAACCTACTTGATATCCTAAATAAGTTATCAACTTTTACAAAAATCACTTTTGTGAAACAATGGGATTAACATCAGAAAATTTCTTGAAAAGTTTAGATAACTGGACAATATGTTCAACAAAAGAATCTCAATACACAACAATGTCATTTATATAAGCATCACACTTATCAATATCTGAAATAATAGAGTTTATGACTCGTTGGAATGTCTGTCCAGCGTTTTTCATTCCAAAAGACATGCGTTTGTACCTATAGAAACCATTTGAGGTTACAAATGCAGATATTTCTTTGGCACGGTCTGACAAAGGAATTCGCCAGTAACCAAACAATAAGTCAATTTTCG